CCACTTATTGCTACTTGTCCCAACTTTTTTGGGATTTGTTGACACTGTGAAATTTTGAATCAACATATTTTTCCTTTTAAATGTTACATTTACTCAGATTAAACTTTTGATCTGTCATCTATATTATATTACAAATAAAATATTGACATTTGCCATCTCCACATCATTGCATTCAGTTTTTATTCACAATTTGTTTAGTGTCCCAACTTTTTTGGAATTCGGTTTGTACCTTAACACTGTAAACTGCACTTGGTGAGGCATTACCTGTCAGACAACACTAAGTGAGTGGATGGCCTGTTTCTCTGCTTTCACAAAAGGATATAATATTGTCCAAGGTGGATGACCCCCGTTAATGTAGAGCACATATGTGAATCCATCTTTAAGGACGCCGCGGATGGAGTAGTAGTAGGGCAGGTAGTGGTGCTGCCTGAAATCCCTGTTCTCATAAAAGTGGATGGCAGTGGTGTTGGTGGTGAGGACGTGCAGGTAGATGGCCTTACAGTGGTCCTGGGCTGTCGTTGAGATGTGCTCCTTCAGACTGTCCAGCAGCAAGGAGCCTGGATGGTGGGAAGGAGAGAGAGCGATAAAATGAAAGTGCTATGTACAGACATCAGTGCATGTTTCCATACAATGACCAAATTTGTCCTCTGCATCTAAAACGTGAGATAAAACCAGGTATGCAACGCCCAGGGAGCAATGAGGGAATAGGTGTATTGCTCAAGGACACTATGACATGCAGGCATGGCAGGGAGTCAAACCTGTGATTTCCCAGTCCCAAGTCAGCTGCCCTATTTCTATAGACCCCCGATAGATAGATAGAGTGCTCTTTAGGTAGCAGTACCTCATATGGTATAAAAAAAGTTAAATAAATAAATGAAAAAAAATTCCAGGGCAGCGCAGTGGTGCAACGGTAGAGCTGCTTCCTCTCAGTGTGCAGGTTATCCTGATTCAAATCCCGGTCCAGGGACCTTTCTGGGTGGAGTTTGCATGTTCTCTCCGTGCATGCGTGGGTTTTCTCCAGGTACTCCAGTTTCCTCCCACAGATCAAAAACATGCATGTTAGACTGATTGGTAACTCTAAATTGTCCCTAGGTGTGAGTGAGAGAGTGAATGGTTGTTTGTCTCTCTGTGTCCCTGTGATGGACTTGCGACCCGTCCAGGGTGTCCCCCGCCACTCGCTCAGTGATTGCTGGACATGGGCACCGGCGACCCAAAAAGGTAGAAGCGGGTAAAGATAATGGATGGATGTGTTTCCAAGTGGAGAATGTCTGAGAGCTGTCAGAGAATGAGAAACAAGTTTGTGGTTCCCATGGTAACCCAAACGAGCCACTGACAGCAGCTTTAACATTTCTTGTGAACTTGGTTCTCCGTACACAGTGAATACATCAAATGGTTCAAATTTGTCAGCTTAGATTATTATCATGACTCATAGCTTTGAACTCAAGAAAAGAAAATTAATGTTTGTTGGAATTTCAGGCAGCAGCTGCATAGTTAACCTAAAACATTATTATTATTATTATGATTTAAAAAATTCTAGTTTTTGTTTTCCAGTTTGGCATCAAAAATATAAAACTCTGATCGGTGTAGATTTTACAAAAAAAGTTAGAAATGACAAAAGCAAAGGAGAGGTAGATTCAAGACCAGAGTTTGTTTTGAACATGCATGTGCAGTATACAGCTCTCATGAATGTTTGTGTAGAAAACATATTTTCTGCTCAGAATTTACCTATGCCATGTTTCCTGAACTCTTTGACCACGCCCAGGCTGAGGATGTAGGCCACCTGTGTGTCCACAGGAAAACTGGAGGCCAGGATGTCTCCATCCTAACACATACAGAAAGAAGGGGGTGGGGGGGGGGGGGGGTGTCAAGATGCAGCATCCACAGTGAACAGAAAAGTATCATTTGATTTAGCATTTATCTTCTTTCTTTGTCATTTGGGATGAATGTGAACATGTTCAGGCCATTGGGATCTTCGTCTAAACAAATCAAGAACAGCGAAGGCAAATGAAAAAAATGCAAATTCTGTTCAGGAGGGAAATTAGTGAGCGAACTGTGAAAACTGCAGCCTGACGACAGTGGAGCAGCTGTCAGGCTGCAGGAATGAATTGGATGCTGATATTTTATTTTAAAAAATGCAACTACCAGTGAATTCACTGTGGCTGAATTCACAAAGTCTCCATTCATAAAGTCTGACACATTTTAGAATTTTGGTAATGATGGACGTATTTAAACTCCAAAGATTTGCAAATTAGAGTTGTATATTAGCAGCTCTGCTTCAATCAGTTTTTTTCCATCTCATTTTCAACACATCTATTTCAGACTAATGAGTGTCTCAGCCAGAGGCGTCTGGTTTGTCCAATTAACACACTAAAAACAGACTTCATCAGATTAACAGCTCCAGAGAGAACAAGCTCACACGACTTGTTGTGAAGGTTCAGTGGTGGTGTGACGTTGCATGTTCGTGTGAGACGTATTGTGTCACTTCCTGTTTGTCTGTTGGTAGCTCGAGTGAATTGTTTGCTCGAGTCCTCTCTGTTTTCTGGATTTATCTGTCTTTTGCACAGTTTTTCATTCTAGTTCACAAACACACTTAGTACAGTTGTTTTTCTACTGTTGGATAGTGCTTAAAACACCTTATCTTTCAACACTTCTCGGTTTTTATTGGTGTATTTGGCTCTGCTAGCTCCTGCTAGCGTTAGCTTAGCATGGCTGCTTCTTCTCTCCCTGCTTCCTCTGTTTTCTCTTGCTCCGTGTGTCAGATGTTTAGTTACTCCTCTGCCTCCTTTAGTGGTAATGATACATGTAACAAATGTAGTCTTATGGTAGCTTTGGAGGAGAGGCTGAACTGGAAGCTTGGCTCCGCGCTGTAGAAAAACCAGTAGCTAGCCAGGTCCCCTTAGACAGCGCGGAACCACAGAGGCTAGCTCCCGTTAGCGGTCCTCCAGCAGACCCCGAGCAGCCGGGACCCCAGGCCGGCTGGGTGACGGTCCGGAGCAAGCGTAGTGCTAAGGCCAAGCCTCCCAGTTCACCACCGACCCGTTCACGTTTCTAATCGATTTTCCTCGCTCAGTGACACACCCACTGAGAAACAGACCCTGGTTATTGGAAGCTCCATAGTCCGAAACATGGCTTTAGAGACTCCAGCGGCCATAGTCAAATGCATTCCGGGGGCCAGAGCAGGAGACATAGAATCTTATCTGAAACTGCTGACTAAGGCTAAGGCTAAATACAGTAAGATTGTTATTCACGTCGGCGGTAATGACACCCGCTTACGCCAATCGGAGGTCACTAAAATTAATGTTGCTTCGGTGTGTGACTTTGCTAAAACCATGTCGGACTCCGTAGTTTTCTCCGGCCCCCTCTCCAACCTGACCAGCGATGACATGTTTAGCCGTATGTCGTTGTTTAACCGCTGGGTGTCCAGGTGGTGTTCTGACAACGACGTGGGCTACATAGATAACTGGATTTCTTTCTGGGGAAAACCTGGTCTGATGTGGAGAGATGGCATCCATCCTACTTTGGACGGAGCCGCTCTTCTTTCTAGAAATATGGCTGATTTTGTTTATCCCCCAAATTATTGACAACCCAGGGTCCAGTCCAGGAAGCAGAGTTGTAGTCCTCCACCCCTCTCTGCTGCTTCTCCTCTGTTACCCACCCACACCCCCATTGAAACAGTGTCAACTCGCCCACGGCTCAAATTAAATAAACTAAAAATCAGCTCTAAAAATATAAACCATAAAAATCTGATTAAAATAAACACAGTTACTTTACCAGAGCAAAATCATAAAATTATTAAATGTGGATTATTGAACATCAGATCTCTTTCCTCTAAATCCCTGTTAGTTAATGAACTGATAACTGATCATCATATTGATTTATTCTGTCTGACAGAAACTTGGCTACAACAGGAGGATTTTGTTAGTATAAATGAATCCACTCCTGTTAATTATTTAAAATTTCATGTTCCTAGAACAACTGGCCGAGGTGGAGGAGTAGCTTCTATTTTTCAGTCAGGATTATTGATTAATGCCAAACCAGTTATTAGTTATGATTCTATTGAATCGCTGTCCCTCAGTCTTTCTCATCCAAAATGGAAATCAGAAAAGCCACTTTTACTAGTTGTTATATATCGTCCACCAGGCGCTTACTCTCAGTTTTTGTCTGAATTATCAGAATTATTAACTGACTTACTATTAAATACTGATAAAATCATCATAATGGGTGATTTCAATATTCATGTGGATGTTGAGAGTGATAGCTTAAGCATAGCCTTTAATAATTTCTCTCTAAGTGGCTTTAAGAATCTGTTGGATTCCTGGCAGGAACCAATGCAGACATGTTCCTGTTTTTAGTTTTCTACATTTGCCTTAGAATCTAGCTGTTTTTTTTGTTACCTTTTTCTTTTAGCCATCCTATTTGTTATAAAAACAAAACAAACAAACAAAAAAAAACTGTAGTATGACTTTTTAAAACTGTTTATCATCGTCGCTGTTGTCCATTGTCGTCCTTATTCTTTGTTGAAATCAGGTCTCTCTTGTAAATGAGTCCTCGAGGCTCAATGGGATTTACCTGTCTAAATAAAGGTTGAATGAAAAATAATTTAAGACTCATTTGGTTTTACCCAAAACGTCCGCACATCTACTCATTCTAATCATCACACTCTTGATTTAGTTCTGACCTATGACATAGAGATTAAGGACTTGGTAATAGTTCCTCAAAATCCTATTCTGTCCAACCATTTTTTAATAACCTTTGAGTTTACGTTAAATGACTACACAGTCACTGAGAGTAAATTTCATCTCAGCAGGTGCTTATTAGAAAATGCTGTAACCAAATTTAAACAATCTCTTCCATCAATGTTTTCCTCTGTCTTGCAGAGTAATGCATCAGAGAACAGAGACTTAGATCATCTAGTTGATCATCTTACAACTTCAATGCAAACTTCACTTGATAAAATTGCTCCGCTGAAAAAGAAAGTAATCAATCAGAGGAAACTGGCTCCTTGGTTCAATTCTGAGTTACGTACTTTAAAGCAGACATCTAGAAACCAGGAGAGAAAATGGCGCTCTACTAATGTTGAAGAATTTTATTTAACTTGGAAAGATAGTCTGCTAACATATAAAAAAGCTCTCCGTAAAGATAGAACTTTATATTACTAATCTTTAATAGAGGAGAATAAAAATAACCCTAGGTTTCTGTTTAGTACAAACCTGACTCCAAAAAAAGTTGGGACACTAAACAAATTGTGAATAAAAACTGAATGCAATGATGTGGAGATGGCAAATGTCAATATTTTATTCGTAATATAACATAGATGACAGATCAAAAGTTTAATCTGAGTAAATGTAACATTTAAAAGGAAAAATATGTTGATTCAAAATTTCGCAGTGTCAACAAATCCCAAAAAAGTTGGGACAAGTAGCAATAAGTGG